TATATGTTGACTAATTTGTCCCACCAAAGTTAACTATAGAATGTAATTATACGACTTTTAAATATTTAAGGACTAAAATATATATTTTATTATTTCAATAACGACAGTGAGTACTAAATTAGTTATTTATTAGTTAATTATAATAAAAAATATATATTTACATCTTCAATTTTCTTTTAAGTTTAATGATTGTGTCAAGTAATTAAGTTTGAGTATCGAATAATTATATAATTATGGAATTCTTTTTGGTGATAGGAAAGAGAAAGAGAAATCAATTTATTACTAGAGAAATCCTAAGAGAATGTCTGGTGAAACAAAAATTAATTCTTTGTCGACACTCTAAATCTAGAAAAAGTAGGTTTGTTGTGCTATTTTCAGTTTTTTTTAGAAAAAAATACCCAAAAATAATTTTTTAAGAAATATTTCTTACCAATTTTTTAGCGAAAATTTTTTTTTGGGGCAGATGCGAAAATAACTTTTCTAATTTAAAATATTTTTTGATGAAAAAGTATCATATTATTCTTATTAAATTATTCAATATGATAATGGTTAAACAATTTAGTAAAATTATTTTGTAAATGTTATAGTTGACCAAATCGATGATTTCTCAGTTAAGAGATGATTTAGATTTTTTTTCATAAAGAATGTCGGTATATATTTTTCTTCTTTCCATTTTATACATTTATCTATTTCACCATTTAAGTATGTCATATTTTTAAACATTAAATTAATTTTCTTTCAAAAACTTGACATGAAAGGTAAAGTTTATATATTGTAATTCATTTACACGTATAATCTTCAATATACTTTTTCACACCAATGACCTAATATAAGTATATAAAGAAATGGATCGGATACTATAATACATTCAACAATCCTTAATTAAATAGGTTATAATATCATTTTTAAAAACAAACCATAAGTCTAACGTCTATTTTTATAGTTAATTAGGTATCATAATTTGTCATAATATATTTTTTTTTAATTCTATCATATTATTGTCAAAATTCATTTTACTATCATGTTTCGTGTTTGCAGCATGAGTTAGTATACGTTAAAGATCCACATCCAAAAAAAATATGACTAAATATAATATAAACATAAGTTAATCTAAAATCTAATTTTCATTATTACTACGTCAATAAAAAGAAGATGTTTTCAATTTTTTTTAAAGGAGACAATGATATTATCAATGACAGGTTTGTCTTTATTGGAAATGAACAGAATTTATGTTTTCGTACAATCATTTTATACATTTATATGCATCTTTTGTTGAGATATCAAACAACGGATAATGATACTTTGACAATATTTTTTGATAATATTTTAATATTATCTACGTGTCATTCTGTGATTGGTTCAAAATTATTCCACAATCAATAATAATAATCATAAACATCAACATGAATCAATCAAAAAATGACACGTAGATGGTGTTAAAATGTTGTCAAAATATCATTATCTTAGTACAATATAACTTTTCTTCTTCTTTTGTTTTCATTTTTTGTTAATTTTAACTGGTTACCAATTAGTTGACATGGTGTCATCCATTACGTAATGGTTTTATTGAGTTATTTATGTTGAAAAGAAGGAAGTTGAAGGTTTAAAAATGGTTGAAATTATTAGAAGAGAATGGTGACGCACTCACACATGATCAAAAAGATAGGTCGGGGGAACATTGTATAGCTTTTACTTGCTTAATGCTTATGTAAGCCATGAATTCGATTCTCTTGCTGTCTCTCACACTAAAAGTTCTTTGCGACACAGTACACATTTCAAAACACAAGTATTCTTAGGCTTCACTTAATTAAAGGGACATGACGTATACTTCGTTAAAGATTCTCCATTACTATAACTAATGCTAAAGATCATGCTAGCTAGTAAATATATGGATTCTCATACAGAATATCGTAGCTTGTTAGCTGGAGTTAAGCCCTATAAATGGAAAAACAGAGACCCGGATAGATAATATATATGCAAAAAGTTGACCATGTCATGTTCTTTCTCTATCTTTCCTGGCTTTTTCTGATACAGATATGATCAAAATATATTTTTACTTTTTGACAAAAACTTTAATGTCTAGTTTTATTGATGTATAGTTTCGTATATGTAAAAAATCAGATTTTGATTTTGAGAGCAAACACATCTGATGTTTAATTTTACGTTCAAAAGATATATATTTTAGTGTGAGGAGATGCTGAATAGTAACTAAAGATAAAATAATTTTATGAGTATATTTAGATATGAGGAGAAAATGTTGAGTATTTTATATAAATAAGACCATTTGATAATCTATAAATGAATATAAAATTTGTTTTATAAATCGATTTTGTATCGTTAAATTAGATTTAAAATTGATTTTTTGATATAAAAGACATAATAGATTCATAGACACTCATTTTTTACAATTTCATCAGCTATTGGGTGCTACTCAAATGCGGTTAGGAATTTTGGGATACATTGTGTATCGTATGACCGCCCGATATGTCGTGAACCGAGCAGTCGACCATCTAACAACAAAGCGACCAGAAAAAACAATCGGTTAGACCATAAACAATCGAAAGTAATTAGGTTAACCCTACATCAAGTGATGAGTGCATGGATCGTAATTAAGTCAACCTTAATCAGAAGTCCATCACGAAAGTGTATAGATACATGTTTGATATATAGGTACTTGATTACTTTTACAACGTATTTATTGTTAAATTGTCTAGATAAACTGACTTAAGTGTCAGACTGTTTTTTACATATGACACCCAATCAGACCGAATAATACAAAGAAATTTAAGGACTAAACTGTGACCTAAACTTATATTTGAAAGATAAAATATATAAAAAAAACCTAAACTCGATGTCACTAACCGAAACAAAGTGTTTTTTAAGTTTTTTTTGACTAGGTAGTTATGGTTTAGTTTTGTTTGGTGCTATATGTAAGATTGTGACCTATTTATTACCTTGGTGCCAATAGAATTTTGCAAGTCTGAGAATATTAATCGTCCGCCGCTGATTCTCGTCGCGTTGTCTCTCGTCAAAAGTTACCAATTGATGCAGACGGACAAACACCAAACTAAACTAATTTAACTTTCTTAAGATAAAGAAGCATATGCTTAGGATTTGGAATGGTTTTAAAAACTTTATGGTTTTATATGTTGTCTGGTTTCTTATGTTTTAATAAAATGAAATAAATAATTGAATAGACAATAGTTTTGCATCTATTCATATGCTTATAATTTTTAAAAAATGTTAACTGGTAAAAAATATTTAAATTATTGGATTTTGATTGGTTAATCTTAGCCGACAGTGGGTGGAGAATCAGTGGTTTCCTTTTCGAATGGCTTTTGGGGATGGTTTTGTGGGATATCCGTACGTTAAGGTGAAGTGGGTAGGAGAAATTTGCTCCTCTCGGTTTAAAGGAAGAAAAGTGATATTTAACATACATAAATTTTTTACATTTTACACTGTTTTTTCTTATTTTTTTATTTCTTAAAAGAATATAAAAATTTATATTTTTATGACTGTTTTATCTTTATCGTATATATCAAATGAATGTCATAGCACCGTACCTCGTTTAGAAAACATGTAAACACCAATCCCACTAGAGCTAAACAGATGCATTGTTTTAATATATTATAATAATTTTAATAATAATAAAACAAAAACTATTCTTTATAATTTACTCAATAATATTTTAACTTTCACATGTAATTTTTTTAGCAAGGTCAGATTATGCATGAGCTACCGAAAGAATCTTTTCTTTCATTTTTCTACTTTTTTTAAGAGAAAGGAGATCATGATCTCTTGGAAAGAATCAACGTAACAAAAACAGTTGATAAATGTTGTTTTTCGAATTCCACTCTTTCGCCCATAGGATGATGAACAATTCTCCAGATTTGCATATTATAACGATATTAAAAGAAAGGACACTTTTAATTTTAATAGAGTTTAAATTATTGGGAGAGTAAAGTTATCAGAGGTAGTCGTAACGAAGTGATATCGATGCAAGCTGTGCGAATAGTAACACACTGAATTTTCCTGCAAAGCATGAACTATATGCGCATGTTTTGAGAATGGGTCATGCCACCTTAGAGGGAGTTCAAATTTTCCCAAACGCAATCATAAACATAACAGGAAACAGTAGCGGCAGAGCGTCTTCCAAAACATGCACGAAACAGGACATTTATGGTGTCGAAAATTTATGATGGTAAATCTGTGAAACACTCTTTTGTGTCTGATATTTCGTTGCCCACAATATTCCGTTTCTTTCCTCCGATCACTTTTTGACTGACCTAAAATCTGACTCTCACCACATTTGAACAATAGAGAGAGAATTTGGGATTCCCTCGAAAAAACTATTTATAGAAAACCTGATATAATCAATCACCCAATCACTGTCACCCAATATTCGGGAGAATCCCTAGTGCTCTGCCCCTTTTGTTGCCTTTCTTTTGGAAACGAATGGTAATTCGTAAAGCTTTTGATTTTCCAGCGAAACAAAAACCCAAACCTCTTACCCGATAATATTACGACAAATTTACATCACTCTTTGTCCAAAACATTAAAAAAATATATTAATATATTTTTATTTTTATACAATATTTTAGTTTCTGATTTCTATCTAATATAAAATTTGCGGATTAGAGAAAAAATTAATCAATTAATTAATTTTCAGTCAAATTAAGTCAGAAGAAACAAAGATACAACAACCAACAAAGGATCTCCTTTTATTTTACCCTTGTGCTTATTTTAAGAACATCTTTTGCATACAACAAGCAGCAGTGTTGAATTCAACAAATGGCAGAAAAAGGAGAAGAATCATTCCACACCTGCACACACACATACATTAGATATATAATTTTGACGAATAACATGATAAAAACGAAGGAAAGAGAATATATAGTGAAATTAAAAAGGAAGTGGGAGAAAAAGGCCCCGTACCCAATCCGAAGTTGTGGCCCAGCCCAGACATTAACTTTTTGCAACTACAAATTGAGTCCCTCCCCCTCACTTCTCCCACATGCCATGCTCCTTCTCTTCTTTTCTCTCCATTCATCACTCTCTCAACTCTGCTCTTTCTTCACCTTAACAAATGGCTGCAACTCTCTGCCACTCATACATGGAGTCCCAACTCGTCGACTCCAGAATACACAGACTCATCCTGTCATCACACAGACTCAGCCCCAAGAGTCTGGAGCTCTGCACCGAAAACCTGGGCAACGAGACGGGCAGCGACATCATAGAGAGCGGCATTGAGCTGCTCTCTTCCCATTCATCGGAATGTGGCGACGGTGAAGTGAGTCCGGGGATGATAAGGGAGAAGCAGAAAAGGAAAGCGCGTGAAGGTCGGAGTTTTCCGCCGCCGTTGACAACGATAACAGGATCCGAATCCATACGAGTGAGGCCCCACAGAGAAGGTGGGAGGCTAGTGCTCCAGCTCATTAAGGTCCCATCCTCTTTCCGAGCAGAGAGAAGCCCCGGCCGTCTTCGCCTCTGCTTTTGGACTGAAATGCAACATCACCACCACCACCACATTGAAGACGCGGTGGAGGATGATCAAGAAGATGAGGTAGAAAAAACACAAGACCATCAACATGATGATGATGTTGATGTTGATGTTGATGTTGATGATGATGACGACGGTGTTGATCCTGAGAATAACGAGTGTGAATGGGAACTCTTCCAGAAACATACAAAAGAGCGCAAGCAGCAGCAGCAGGTGAGAGTGGAAAGTACCAAGTTCGAGTGGCCAAGCAGCAGGTGCAAGGAAGAAGAACATGAAAACATTAATGATTTGATAATATATTGGGGGGAACCAGTTCGTTTAATTTTAATTTCGATCTATCTATAACCTAGTTCTACATTTTTTTCTCAATTTTCTTAGGCAATTCCTATCTATTTTGTTTATTCCCCATTAAACTTCCATCTACTTGGTAGTTATTATCGTTATTCTCTCTGTCTCTTCTACAACCACAAAACACAGTAACAAATTAGTGTGACAACTCATGACTGCATTAATTGCCACAATTAATTAATTTTACTGTATAAAATGTTAAAATAGTAAGGATTACGAATCAATTCAATAAAAAAACTCCTTTTAATAAATTTGGGTTATATTTATTTATCCATTTTGTTTTGTACTATCCAAATAATGGGAATTTAAGCCTAAAACATGTGAGGAAAGGCTCTTTATTCCTGAGAAGACAGACTTTGGGTTTGCATTTCATAATTTCATAAATTGTTTGATCTTGATTTTGATTATGATGTCTTGAATCTTTAATCTTGCATAATACATATCAATCTAATTAAATGTGTCAGGCAAAAAAAAATAGCATGAAGACAAAAACTAAAAGTATGCGGGCGATATAACGCGGAACAGTAGTTAGGCGCATTTTAAAACGTTAGCTTTTCATTTTTCTTCTTTTTCTCTGCTTTTTATTCCTCTCCTTTTCCTTTTTCTGAGTCTTGTACTTTAAATATTGAAATCTTTATTGTTACAATTATTTATTATTATTATTATTATTATTTATATAAGAAAATATAAAAAAAATCCCTTTATTAATTAAACAGACTAAAAGTGTAATCATATTAATAAGAGAAAGGTTCCATTTACGCCATCGAAAGGATAGAACTTTTTCCTGATTTTTACCTATGTATAGTAAAATGCGATGGCCTAGTAAATAAAGTGGGAGAGACGTGATTTGGGTAAGAAACATTTATATATAGAAGAAACGATGTGATTGATAAGAGAAAAAGGGAAAACAGAAAGGAAGTAGCACGTCCACAAATTAATAAAAAGAGCTTGTCAGTGATCTCGGGAAGATTTGGTTGATTCTGCACTACAATTCTGCAGCTTGTACGGTCCATTTCAATGAAATGAAATCCATTTTTCTTCAACTGAACTAGATCTATAGATAAAGCAAAAACTCACGTACAAGAAATACACATGCAAATTGAGAAGTGTATATATATACATGGACTATCACAAACTCGGAACAGGATTCGTATCCGTGTCGTACCAATTTGGGGGACCAAAAAGATCCGCGAGTCTGAAACAAAATCAAAACCATAATCGTGTCTTTATTGTGTTGTGTTGTGGATTATGAGTGAAAGTGAGGTTGGTGGTGCAGGATGTTGGTGTAAGAGGGGTCGCATGCTCCCAATCACCATGTGCATTGTGCACCAACATGTATCACAGAAAAGCACTCTCCACTCTTTTCTTCTCATGTGTTTGCCAACACAACATCAACTTCGTATGACTCCCAGTACAGTTTTCTTAATAAGCACACTGTTATGCATGTTACTCCACTCTTCTCCTAGACCTGGTTGAAAATTCTACGTCGACTAAAGATAAAATCAAATTATAATACATGAGTGAGATACAAACTTTACTTTACAAGACGATTTTATGGATTGAGTTAGACTTGAAAACAAACCTTACGATAAAGTTGTTAAAATCTCATCAAATTAACATTACCAACGATATGCAATCTAACCATATATAGCAATGCCTATGTTGGTAGTTAACATTTCATACAGACATTCTCGTGTGAAACAAAACTGTATGGACTGCTTTGTGCCAAAGTGTAGTTAATCCATTTTCGTGTTCTAGTCAGAGTTAGAACAAAGTGTCACGACACTTCATGCATTTACAAACAAAATTTTATACACTCAAGGGGGTTATAGCTAGTTTTTCCTTCGTTGATATAGATTTTATTTAATGGAAACTGATTAATATATATAGAGATTTTGAATTTATAATATCTGATGTTTTATATATGGAATAACAATTTGCATTTAAATTACTGAAATGTAAATATATAACTGAATTATTTATATCAATTGAAGTTTAGAGTTCGTTGATGATAAAATTTATCAATTGAAGTTTAGAGTTGGTTAATGATAAGATTTATCATTAGTGTAATTAGAAATGACAAATCAAACTGTTTTTTTTATATCATTTAAGCCCGAATCGATTTTGATGAGCTATTGTTTTAAATTATTAAAATATCTCTCTAGTTTATTTTATATATATCGTTGTATGGTTCTCGAAACCTAATATACATTTTGATATTTTTATTTTTTTTATATAATTATAGTTTATAGATATCTGTGGATAGTTTAAAGCCACTCCATAATCGATGTCATATAGGCATAATAAAAAATTTACTTTAAAAATGACTTTATTGTTATATTAAAAAGAAAGTTTTTTTATCTAATTCATTTCTACAATATATGAAATCTTTGATATATTATGATTTTTTATATATAAAAAAATTTCAATTAATATTTAAAACATACAAATATGAGTAGTAACATTGGTACGGGTATATTAATTTTTTAAAATTGTTTTAAAAATAAATTTTTAAAAATTAGACACAATAGTCAAATCGCATAAAAGGAACACAATAATTCGGGATTATCATTTTATCCGAGACAGTACGTGTATGGTACACTTTTTTTCTGTCAAAAATATACCCATCACACCTTTCAAGAAAAAAAAAACCCTCCTTCTATTTTAATAATATATTAATTTTTAATTAAAAAATAAAAATAAATATTAAAATAATAATATATTTAGCTGTCACGTGATTTCTTTAGTCTTCGTGGGTTACAAAATATCACACCAACGTTTATAATTTTGTAAAACGCGTGTTCTGCATATACACAGAATGAAAAGTTAATTTTATTTTTCCTCTAAATAATTTTAAAAGTAATGAAAATAATTAAAAATCTTCATAAATAATTTATGTTTCGGTTAAGATTTTTGTGGACCGAAACACATGATTTTGTCATTTTTGGATGATTTTGTTGCTCCGAAATATAGACCGCACGCTCGTCCTTTACTAGTAGAGAAGGGGGGACGTTGCTTACAAATGAACTCAGTAGGGTAGAGTGTGAGTAGAATGTGAATGGAACGCTTTGGAGTGTGAATTGAACATACATGGTTGATGGCCCTGATCTTATATTTATAAGTTGTTTGATGGATCTAATATGATACAGGCTCAATAAAATATAAACAGACTTAGCTTAAAATTAGGTTAATTTTTCGAAAACAGCATATCCAATATCTTTAACTAAATATTTTATATTTAGTGTAACCGAACTATTAATAGTTAGTAACAGTTGGGTAAACAATATATCCTATGCAATTTAATTCTTAAATTGATATATTTTTGGAACTAATCAATTAAAAAAATATGAATAAGTACCTAGTCATTTTTTTTTTATATTATAGACGTATTTCTCGTATATGTTAATTTTTAGCTGATAAGGAAAATTATAAAGTAAAATTTTAAATATAAATTTAAAAGTTTTCGATTTACGGATTCAAAATTACAAGATTTTAAAGTTTTTTTAAGTTGAATTGACTCTAATATCAAAGTTACTAAATATAGGTCAACTTTAGTAATATTAAATATAATTAATTTATTTCATTACTTCAAATATTTATAAATTTGAGAATGAATTTCAAATTGATAATAATTTTGTTTTAATTTAAGTTAATCATCGATTTGAATTATTTTTTAAAACTAACGTATACTTTATTTAATCGATCGATTTATTAGATATTTGTGATATAATCTTAAATACATCGGGCAACCATACATTATATAAAATATCATTATGTATATTATAAACTTCTAATGTCTCAAATTTTCGATTAAAGATAACATCTTTGATACTTTTTGAGTGTGATCCTTACTCATGAATTTCAAATTTTTTAGTAGTTTGTTTTCATAACAAAATCCACACTTCATCTGGATAAGACTAGATAAAATCGGAGGAGAATAAATTGCTTTTTATAAACATTATTTTTATCCATTGTCTTCAAGAGTGGCAGAAAAGCTGGGAAAGGGGACCGTGTACTGTATCACAGAACGTAAAACACGTGCCAATAGTAACGTGTTGAGAATGGTGTACATCTATATCCAGAAGGAAGAAATTAAAAAAGAATTGGTAGAGGGAAAAAACTACATCGGTCAAGATGAGTTAATATCCGCGATTAATCTGATTTATCACGGGTTTGAGTAGAGTTAAGTTTAAAAAAATTGTATATTTTTATGCTGGTCAGATTTTAATCCGGTTCATTTAAACCCAATTTATGCGGATTGAACTCATGATAAGCTGGATTGACCCATCAATCCACCTACCTAATTTTATTTTATTAAAATTTAATTTTAATTTTATAAAATAATATTTATTATTTTGTTTTTGTTTGAAAAAATTATTTAAGTTTCTTATTTTCAAAATTAATTAAATATTCGAGAGTAAAATTTGTTTAGATTTGAATTATAGAAAGTTTGTAATTTTTTTTATTTAAAATAAAATTATAATTAAGTGAACCAGTAAACCAACCCGTTTACCCACCAACCCGTGGTGAGTCGGGCCGGATTCGAATTTTTCTAATTCGCCAATAAATAAGTCGGGTTGAGTTGGTTTACTTAATGACTAACCCATGGAAGATCAGACCAAATTGGCTCGTTTTGACAGTTCTAGAAAAGAAATCCTTTAAATAATGGGTTTTGAAGCTTAAATAATCAATTCTCTGGTGTTTTTATTTTTGGTAACATAAGAGAAATTGATTTAAGTTTTTAAATAATTAAATGTTTTTTTCTTTTTTCACTATGCACATCCTTAATTGTTATTTTTAATATGTTGCGAAAGTAAGCTTGAGAATTTAACATTTAGATTGTTTGTAAAATCGAAATTATGACATAAGAGAAAGCTTTAAAACTGCTGACGTGGTTGAATAAAAGCAAAGAGAAAGTAAAGATAATTTGTGGGTATTCTGAATCTATTATTTGGATATTGAAACTGTTTCAGCTTTTGGCATTAAAATAAATATCCAGTTGATCCAATGACACATGCAAAATATCACTCATCATCAACATGTTGCCGTGTGTTAAAGAATGGGCAGATGCCATATTATTGGTATTACATAAGCCAAAACAAGTGCTTTTACTTTCATTTTTTAACTTA